TATCACATGTTATTTTTGCTGATGTTGATATGATCATATGTGTTTCCTCCTTTATTTAACTGTTGATGCAGTGAATCACCATCAATTTTTAGAAAATGTTAGTACATGCCCTCCACCCCACCCCACCCTGTCCCCATCCTTCTTTTACAAAGAAAAAGAAGCTCAGTATGGTCTATTCCTGGATATGCATACACAGCTCTGCTTGTAGCACAGAGCACCCTATCAAAATATGTGTGTTACCATGTCTGGGAGGCAAACTGAACTATACATGGGGTACAAAAGGTTAAGCTTTCCTTTAGGGGCCCTGCTTTAGAGAGCTATCTCTCAGAGACACTGTGCTGGTACAATAAACTGCTTCCTATTTTGTTTCTAGCCTTTGGGGTTCGGTTTTCCTCTGTGGTAGGCCTGTAACAACATTTGTTTAGGGTTTTTGTGCCCATGGTTGAAAGAGAAATTGGCTTAGTTTTCTTCTTTTTCTAAGTGTCCTTTTCAGTTTGTATGCGGCAGGTACAAAGTTGAGATTTAAGAGTTTTTTTTATATTCCCCATTTTATTCTAATGTAACATAAGGCTGTTTCTTAGTTATTTTTTTATTCTACCTTCTTTTGAGTTAGGAGTTTAGTTATGTAGCCCAGGCTGACCCTGAATTTGTGGTGTTCCTCTCTCAGCATCCTGAGTGCTGGAATTATAGGAGTCTACCACCACGATTAGCTAAACTCCTTTATTTTTGAGTAATTTTAAATTTATAGAAAATATACAAAACAGAATTCCATCTAGCAATTGCTAGCTTCTCTTTAATGTTATATTATCATTGCATATTTGCCAAAACTAAGAAACCAGCATTTGTATATTGTTGCTAAGTATTCCTGGTCTTTATTTGCATTACATCAGTTTTTTGCTCATGTCCTTTTTTTCTGTACCGTGGTTCAACCCAGTATTTCACCATTTCATTTAGTTGCTGCTGGAGTCTGAATGTTCATATTATCCAAAAGAAGCATTCTGGGACTGGAAGGTGGCCCAGTGGTTAAGAACATGGGTTGCTCTTGCAGAGGACCTAGGTTCAGTTCCCAGCACTCATATGGCAGCTAACAATCACCTATAATTACAGTTCCAGGGAAGCTGACATCCTCTCCTAACCTCCATGGGCACTGTATGCATGAGTGCGCTTACATACATGCAGGTAAAATGTTCATCCACATAAAATAAAAATAAATTAATAAAAATTCCAAAGAAACATTTTGAACCTAATCCACTCATGGAGTCACACGAAGGGTAATTAGGCCATGGGAGAATCCCTCATGAATGAGATTAGTGCCCTATATAAGAGACCATGTAATGGCATGACAAGAAGTTATCTGTGAAACAGAGAGCAGGCTTTATCAGATACAAAATAATCTTGATCTCAGTCTTCAAAATCAGAAAGGTGAGCAGTATGTTTATGGTATTTATAAGCTACCCTGTTTGTGGTTTTCTGTTATATTGCCTGAGTGGTCCAAGACCAAAAAATAATTTTAAAAAGTGGTGCCAAGAAGTAGGTGCTCCTATAACAAATACCCAAAAGTGCAAAAGTGGCTTTGAAGCTTGGTAATAAGAAGAGGCATGGACAGTTTTTAGGTATATGCTGGAAGAAGCTTGTACTCCTATGAAGTGTTGTGGCCAGTTCTGGGCATGCTCAGTAGGAAAGGAGAAACACTGTACAGTGGTATAGTTTTTCTTTTTCTTTTCTTTCATTATTTTTATTTTTGCATATGAGTGTATTGCCTGCATGTATGTAAGTGCACCTGTGTCATGCCCACAGAAGTCAGAAGAATGTGTCAGATTCCCCTGGAACTGAGTTACGGATGGTTGTTAGCCTTCATGTGGATGCTAGGAGTCAAACTTGAATTCTCTGCATGTACAGTCAGTGCTCTTAACCACTGAACAACCCATAGTTTTTTTTCCCCCCCCATTATCATTTATTCATTTTACGAATTACTGGGTTTCATTATGACATTTTCATACATTTATGTCATGTGCTTTGATTTTGCTCACAACCGACCCCCCTTTCCCCTCTCTTGCTAGTCATCCCCTCCTCCCTTGCTAGTCCCCTTCCTCTTCCCAAATAGTCTCTCTTTTGCTTTCATGTCTTTTAAAAATATATTTTGTTATTTTTATTTTATATGTATGAGTGTATTGGTGTGTGTATGTAAATGTACCTGGGTTATGCAGTTCCTGCAGAGTTCAAAGAGGATGTTGATTCCCCTGGAACTGGAGTTAGGATGGTCATTAGCTGCCATGTGGCTCCTGGGATTCAAACTCAGGTCCTCTGCAAAGGCAGCCAGTGAGCTCAACTGCTGAGCCATCTCTTCAGCCCTCTTTTCATATCTTACATATTGTTTTAAATTCCAGAGTTTGTGTTTGAGAGAAAGCATGCAATATTTGTAATTCAGACTGTGGCTTATTTTAAGCTTAACCTGATGATCTCCAGTTCCATTCACTTTCCTGTCAATGGCATTGGTTTTTCTTTATGACTGAACAAAACTCCAGTGTTTATGTATAGCATAAACACCTGTTGGTGGGCATCTAGTCTGATCTCATGACCTGCCTATTGTGAATTGTGCCACAGTCAATGTGAATGCATAGGCTTACTACACTTACTGTGATTTACTGACTTAGATTCCTTTTGATATATTCCCATGTCTGGTATAGTTGGATTATATGGTAGTTACAGTTTTAGATTTTCTCTTAAGGAATTGGCATATTGTTTTCCATAGTAGCTGTCCTAAAATTTGTATTCCCACCAACAGTTTATAAAGGTTCCTTTTCCTTGCATCTTTGCCAGCATTTGTTGTTTGATTTCTTGATATTAGCCATTCTGAATAGAATGAAATGAAATCTCAATGTAGTTTTGATTTGCATTTCTGATGGCTAAAGACACAGTATTTTTTCATGTATTTATAGGCCATTTGTACTTACTCTTTTCAGAACTGCTCAGTTGCGCTTTTATTTAGTGGATGATTTGAGTTTTAGCATTTTTCTGAAGTAATAGTATTTTCTGAATATTAATCTTTGTCAGATGAACAGCTGCAAAAGATTTTCTCCCCTTCTGTGTGCTCTCTTTCCATTGGTAATTATCTCTTTTCTGTGCAGAAACTATTTAACTTGATGCAATGTACTTTGTCAATTCTTGTTCTTACCTCCTGAGCTACTGAGAAAGCCATCAACTATGCCTGTATCTTGAAGTGCTTTTTCCTAGGTTTTTCTAGTAGTTTCAGAGATTCAGGTCTTATTCAAGCCTTTTTTTTATACAGAGCAAGAGATAAGAATTTAGCTTTGCATTTCTACATGTGGAGTTCCACTCTTCTCAGAATTCTTTGTTAAGAGGCTTATCTTCGTTGTATGTTTTTGGCACCTTTGTTGGAAATCAGATGGCTTCTTTAGCTATGTGGATTTATTTTTGGATCCTCTGTTGAGCTTCATTGTTCTACATGCCTGCTTTTATGCCAGTACCATCTT